AATCCAAAAGCAGCCTGTCTTGCCCTTTGGGTACATGAGGACACAGCGGGATCTCGGCAGTCTGCAGCTCGGAGGAGGATCTCTTCAAGAATCTAACCATGCTGGCACCCTGATCTTGGACTTCCAGCATGCTTCCAGAACTGTGAGAAATAAAATTGTTGTTTATTTTTAAAAAATCAGCTGGTCTTTCTCCAAAGCCTGAACTCTGACGGGGTCACTGTAGCAGGAACTGAAAGTGCGGTGTGGGGAAGCCCGGAGTAGCTGACCTCAGGGAAGAGGTGGCAGCAGAGCGAGAGAGACCCTGGCTGCAAATCCTTGGGCTTGGCCGCTGTGTGAACCATCTCATCTTGGCTCTTGACTCTCCCTCTGGCGCCCAAAAACCTCCACTGGGGTCAAAGGACAGGCCTGTGGATCTTGGGGCCTTGCAGGTAGACGGAGGTTGTTTCCTCTCTAACTAATGTCCTACCAGGAACACTTGTCCCCAAAAATCCCTGCCTGGTCACACAGATCAAAGCTGGGGGCTGTCCTCTCATGGCGTGGGACAGAGTGGGGCCCAGCCATCCGCACCTCTCCCCGCCCCCAGGCCCTCTGGGAAGAGAACCGCTGCTTTCCCCACCTTGGTGGTAACTCCTTAGCTCTCAGCCGTCGTCAGCACACAGGGCTCCCCAGACACATGCAGCCTCCATCAGCGTTGTCCAGTCAAGACCCTCTGGCAGGGGCCTCCTACTGTGCAGCAGTGAAAAGACAGGCCCACTGATGGCCGAGTCAGTAAGTATTCTTGTAGGACAGGAAGGACCATGTAAAACCTTGTTTTAATAGGAAAAGGGAATGAGACAGAGTTGGCTCTTTTATTCTGCAGGGAATGGAATCTTATGAACTCAGGTTTTAGTTGGAACAAGTATTTACTGAGCCTCCTAAGTGTTAAACACTGTGGTAGGTGCATTCATTACTCTCATTCTTCCTCATAACAACAGTATTAGGAAAAGAGGAAGGGAGGCTCGCCGAAGTGACCTCCTCAAAGCCCCTGAGAACCCGAGGCGTCTGCCTTCCCTGCCCAGAGCTCTTCCACTACCCACAGCTGCCTCCAGAGCCCGAGACGCCTGCTTGGGCGTAGCCGGAGACTGGAGCTCTAAGGGACTCGAGGACGTGGTCCTTGGATCCAGGACCCTCTGAGATGAGACGACAGCAAGGTCTCCCCGTTCCTTGCCATGCTCCCCTCCTGCTCAGTTCACAGGGCTTCCCTGACAGCTCTTCCCCAGGGGCAGGAGCCCAGGCCCAGCTTCACAGCACTCTGCCTGCTCCCTTTCAGAGCAGTTCTCAATCCACATTGCGAGGGTTTGTGGTCCTTCCTCCTTCGTTCACCGTAAGCACCTGGATGGCAAGGACGACTTGCGCTTTGCTCACCATTGACTTCCCAGGACTGGGCATATTCCGGGTGCTTAAAAAAGATTCAGTAAATTATCAATTTTAAAAAATTCAAAGATGGATGGATAAATGAATAAACTGACAAATGGATAATGGTTTGTCCTCCCCTCAAAGTTGCTGTGTCTCAAATTAAACTTACATTTCCCTTCCTGACAAGATAACTCACTTGACTCCCCAGTTGGTTAGCAATGCCATCAAAAGAGAGTGAGGTAGAGGGGCTTTCGGTCTTCCCACTTTAAATCCGGCCTCAGTCATTTGCTAACCCAGGAGTGATAAGCAATTGGTTGATCTCTCCGAACCTCAGTTTCCTCCTTGTAGTACGGTATTGTGAGGCTCACTGACAACATTCATAATCCCCGTTCTGTGTTAGGAGATCAATACACAGCTGCTATTAACTTTAGCACACATCAAACACAGTAGGTCATGTAGAGTTATCTCTGGTGCCTCTTTTGTCTTCTGCTTCCTCCCCAATGGTCACCAGATATTTAACCTGTTGAATCTTTTTTTCAGTATCGCCGCCCTCATCTCATTTCCCCACATAATGCAACAGATTCTAACCAATTCCTCCGCTTCGTATTCTCCCAATCTTTTATGCACACCCTGAGGTGGCTCTAGAAATCTCTGGAGAAGAGGTTTAGGATGGCAGTCCCCAGCTCTCCATAGAGAGTGGAAAAGAAGGAACTTGTCTGGTAGCTGCACATCCGTACCTCTTTACAAAATGCTGAGAAAACGTCTGCTGTCCATGTTAAATCATAGAGTAGGAGCCTGATGATCTAGAAGGGGTACTAAAGCTCTCCATCCTTGGCTAACTCCTGGGGCACCTCTGGGCAAGAGCTGCCAATTTACATTTCTAAAATTATGGTCTTCATCGAGGTCCATTTTGCTGAAATTTTTTCAGCGACTTTGGGAAAGTTCCGGAATCTTTTGCCTCACATTCAGGACTTTCACAAGTTCACTTTGGGCTAACCCTTCCAGGGTATTTTGCTACAGCATGAATTTTCCATTTTCCGTATTTCACTTCACTCAGTGCCACCTGAATATGCCCCACTCCCTGCCTGTGTCCAGGGGCGGTCCAAGGTGGTCCTCCTCGGGTCCTTCCATCCAACGGAGGTCATTCCTTAAGGCCTGGCTCAAAAAGTGCTCTTCCAGGGGCTCTCCACAGCCACCCCAGCCTGCAGGGCTCCGTCCTTTCTTGGAATACCCATGTTTGTTATTATCAGGGTAAGTTATTCTGCTGCTTAACCACATAACTTTTGAGTATTTTTGTTGAAAGTTTTCATATGTTGCTGTTTTCTCTCCCACGGGACCAAGATGCCCATTTACGGTAAGGACCGCCACATGCCTCCTGGGTCCCCCTGGCACCCAGCCCAGCCACCGTGGGACACGGGGTAGGTAGGCAGTGGGCTGCTGAGTCACAGCGCCATCCCCAGGGCTCCCCACTCTTCTGACCCACAAATGCACAACAGAAGAGAGGCTTTGAGTTTAGGGACAGTCATCTCTAGGGGCCGAGGACTCTCCCCAAGGAATACATGCCAAATATCTGCTGGCGAGAGGGCTTTGCACCTGGGTAAACTAACCGCAGCCCAGGGGAACCGTTTCCTGTGCTGGTGACTGATGACTTGGAGCTGCCGGCATCTTGTTCGCTTTAGCTTGAGCAACGTGGGTTTAAATACACCCCTGCTACACCCACACACGTCTGTCACGAGCACCGCACCCTCGAGCAAGACGTGCTGTGACCAGATCCATGAGAAAGGCCACCAGCAGTGGGGCTTAAAACTTGTGTAAAAACATTTCCTTTAGAGAGAAAGGAAAGGAGGACTCTGGTGAAGGGCATCTAAGAATTTCCTGTACTTTTCTGTAAATCTGAAAGTATATTGGAATACACTTTTTGTCACTTTTATGCAAACCTGTAAGTCCAAAAGTATATTAGAATATTAAATAAAATTTTAAAGCAGAAATCACGGAGAGCTGCCTTCCCACCTTCCTCGGCCTTTAAGAAGAATTAACATTTTAACACATTCATATACAAATTATATTTATGACTATTTTTTTCTCCTCTTAGACAAGAAGTGTAAAATAGGAAGAGCTAAAGAAAACTTCTACATATTGTATAATATAAAACAATATTTTAGAACATTGACATTGTAATAGAGGGGTTTATATTGTAGGATCTAGGGCAAAACATTGAACCTCTCTAGGTTACAGTTTCCTCCTCCTAAAGTGGATTTAAAAATGCTCATCCCTTAGCATTGTCATAGGAATTAAATAAGAAGATAAATATTAAATAGTTAATATAATTCCCGGTTCATGTCGGTGCCATGATATTCAAGTTCCAAAGGCTTAAAGAATGTCAGTACCCGAGTTCTACGCACTTTGTGTCCGTCACACACACGAAGCATGGGGTGCAGAGCAGACGGCTGACACAGGGCGACAGTGCCGAAGCAGCGACCCCGCCTGATCCCAACAGCCCTGCTTTCGCGTCCCTTTGAGGTGATTTCATAGGGGCCCCTAACCCCTCCAGGCGGCCGCTTTCTTTGGCTGTGAAATGGGTTGATTTTCATTCCAACAAGGGCTAGCTAATTAGAGCGGACTCTGCAGCTCCTGGGATCTAAGGCCCTGGAAAGTACTGGGAAAAAAACAGGGCAGATGCGTCATCCAATGGCCTGCCTGGCCTGGGGGGTTCATCTCATCCAACAACCCCGCTTCTCAGAGCTCCGGCCAGCTCCCAGTACAGGCACTGGCGAGGAGGAGGGTGAGGGAGCGGTTCCTCAGGCCTCAGTGGGGCCGAAGGAGAAGCCGTTGCTCCAAGGGAGCCCAGAAGCTGGGGCCGGAGAGTGTGGTCCGGAGCCCCAGGACACGGTGCAAGGCGTCAGCAGGAGCCGTGGGCAGTTGAGGCCTGAACGCTGTGGGCTAGGTGCTGCAGGGTCCCATCCTCTCCTAGTCCCCTTCCGCGGGCTAGCTGCTACAGGGTCCTCAAAGATAGACCCCCAAGGGGCTGGGTGCCCCCTTCCCCTCCTGGACCTGGTCCCTGGAGCCAGGAGCACCGCCTCTCAGGCCTGGACTGAAGGCTGTGCCCTCTGCCTTCTTTTCTCTCTGAAAGGGCTGGTGCACGTTTTGGCCAGGGCCCATTACAGTGCGGCTTGCTCCGATACTTCCTATAACAGACCCGTCCACTGTGCTCGGCCCGCAGCCCTGGTGGTGGCCAGCTCGGCTCTGCCACATCTGGGGTGGGCCACAGTAAACTCTGGCCACAGACCAGAGAAGAAGCAGGTCGAAAGTCCAAGGGAGAGCCAGGCGGAGGGAGGTGTCCGCGGTGTCCGCGCAGGTGGTGAGTCAGGAGGGCAGGAACCCCGCTTCTGCCTCACTGTCTGCGTGGCCACTTCCACGCGCAGTGGTGTGTATGGCCTGCAGTTTCGAGCAGGCGAAACCAGACCGGGAGGCCAGGGAGAGGAGGAAAGGAGAAAGGAAAAAGGGAGGCAGGAGGTGAGAAGGGAGAGGCAAGAAGAATGTAAATACAGGAGAGGGGTGGGGAAAAGAGAGGGGGATAGAGAAAAAGAAAGGGAAGCAGAGTGCCTGTGAGAGAGAAAAAGATGCAAGAGAGACGTGGAGAGGTCAACGTGAGAGCAGAGACAGGGCACACGGACAAGGCCTCATCCCCTCGGCTCCTAGCTGGGGTGCCCCTGATTTTGCCCTACACAGACTCAACCCTACACCATGCGCCCTGCAGTCAGCGTGACTCCGCTCGCCCAGGTCCCCTCCGGCCCCGAGGTGCAGCCCTGCCCGGCCCCTTCCCCGCGGCGCACCCCAGAGCTGGGAGGGCGGGGGCGAGCCGCGAGGGAGGGGCTGCGGGGAGGAGGCAACCGAGTGGTTCCAGCTCACTCTATTTTCCCCCTTCTTTCTCCACTGCTTTTTCTTTCCAAACAGGGAAAAGTGCTCCACGAGCGGTAGAGTCTTTCCGCCTCGCTTTTCCCTCCCCATCCCCGGTCCCCGCTCCCGTCTGGGCGCCAGCTGGTGGGGCGCGCGCAGAAAGCCCGTCTGCGAGCGGGAGCGCGTGGCGCGGGGCCGCTCCCGCGGCGGCACATGGCCGCAGTCATCCCGCAAGCCTCCGGAGGCGCCGCGCCCAGCTCGCCCGTGGTCCGTCGGCTGCGCCCCGCCGCCCCGGCGCCAAGCAGAGGCTGAACGCGGAGGTACCCGGGCCGGGCGTCGGGATGACCCTTCTCCTGCTCCTCTGGCTAGGTGAGTGCCTCGGGACAGGCGGGGGACCGGGGGACCGGGGGACCGGGGCAAACACAGCCTGCGTCCGAGGACGAACGCTGGCTCCGGATGGTCGTGCCCGCAGCCCCTGGAGTGAGGCGGCCCCTCAGTCCCGGCCTCCCGGCTGCGGAGGAGCACATCTGGCCACTCGGGGCTGGAGGTGGTTTCTGGTCCAGCTGGGCTGTGACCGTTTGGTGGGGAGGGTCTTCTGGGGGGACTGATGTTCAGTTTTAGGAGTCTGCGGGGAAACTAGAGGATCGGGGAAGGAAAGGCTTCTTCAGGAATTTTTGTGCCAGGTTCCTGCGGGGTTGGGGGGCGGGGATAGGTTTTTGTTTCAAACAGACGCCTCCAGGGCCCAGATTGGAAACAGATGTGTTGAAGGGTCAGCGGAAGGGAAGGGGGAAGAGATGGGGAAAGGAAAGGGGCAGAGCACCCGGAGAACCAGGGAGGTGCAAACTCGAAAATGACCCAGGGAAGGAAGGAGAGGGAAGGGACAAGGATTGGAAGGGAGGGACGAGAAGGGGACTATGAAGCACAAGAGCAAGACGGAGGGAGAGTGAGTAAAGAGAGTGGGAAGAAGACAGAAAAAATGGAGTGGGAGAAAAGAGCAGAGAGAAACAGGTTCCAGAGCAGAGAGAACTCGACCCTCCTGTGTGTCCCTTCTGGGTGCCACCCAGGCAGGACTCTGGGAGCCTAAGAGGCCCTAGGGCACAGATTCCTCCCGGCGGAAGCAGGCAGGTTTGCAGGAGCCATCAGGACAGAACACAGCGAGGAGTGTGCACCAGGGGCGGACAAGGGGGAGGTGTGATTATTGGGATGCCAGGGAGAGGGAACGCGGGCAGGGACCGCAGGCAGGAAAACTGAACAAAAGCCACAATCTGCACGAGCAAACTCCGGTTTCACCTGGAGATAGGACCAAAAGTGAGCGGAGTTCAGAAAACCAAAGAGCCAGCCTGTTGGGGTAGAGTGAGCCCTACCCTGGACACCAGGCCGCCAGAGAACTTGCCCTGGTTTTGAACTGACTAACTGGGTGACCTTGGGCAATTTATTTACTACCCAGGGCTTCAGTTTCCTTAGCTCCAAAACAAGACTGGCAGGTGGTGCCTAGGTCCCTCCGAGGTCTGACAAGCTAAGCAGCCTAACATCCAAGGAGGTTGGCAAGGCCTGAGGTCTAGAAACCCCCTGCCCCCCAAAAAGGTGAAAAGGCCCTAAAAAGTCACGCTGAAATAGCTGTCTAGAGAGCTCCCTGTCTCTCTCTTTCTCTTTCCTTTTTTTTTTTTTTGAAAACCTCACAAACCAACTGGGCCATATGCACGCCTGTCTAGGTCAGCCTCATGCCTGTAATCGCCCAGGTGAGTGGGCTGCAGAAGTGGACTAGCCGGAACTGTTGCTCAAGGAGGCAGGTGAGGGGCCACTGTTTTCTGAGCCCTTTTAGGTACTGCCAAGTACTGCAATACTGCTCCTGTGCACAGCTGGCATGTCTAGAGAGCACCTTTGTCACCTTTACTGGCCTCCGCCCTAACCGTCCAGTCACCAGATGTGCAGTGGACTCAAACATCAGAGCTGCCTTGTTAAAAACATCTGGGATTTCTTAAGTGCTTATCATGCCGAGCACTTTATATCTTGCTGATTCACTTTTTCTGTGTGCCAACCCTATTGGCTACCCGCTTTATTATTCCCATTTTGAAGATGAAGAAAGCAAGGTAGAAAGAGGTCAGGTAACCTGCTCAAGACCATCAGCTCATCCTTAGCAGAGATGGGATCCGAATGCAGGCTGTCGGCCTCCAGAGACTGCTCACAAAACCACCACACTCTACCGCCTCCCGTCACTGCAGAAGGACTCCTAAAGGTGTCCTCTGTTGTGAGGTCCAGTTTGGTCCAGTTTGGTCCTCCGCATGGAGCCGGCGATGTCCTGTGCCCCTGTACAGTACAGGGGGTTTGGGGGAGGGGACACCAAACACCTTGGGCATTGTTTATAGTGGAAAGTGAAAGGTGACTTTGTTTCACCAGGTTAGTTGGGATCAACTGGACTTGATGATGGTTCTTGGTCCATGAGAAAGAGGAACTTGCCGAGGCATGGACCAAGAGGTATCACTGATTCACTTCCCGTCCTTACTGGGTTGCTATGTGTAATCATTGCGCTGGTGGGAAAATAATCTGTCTCTATGACAAAAGCCACCCCTCGTGATTTCTTTCTTGATTCTGTCTTTATGAATTGTTACAAACAAAAGGCCATGTACAAAGAGGAAAGGTGGGCTGCTGACTTAGAATTCTGCACAGCCAAAAGCTCCGCATTCACACCTACTGTTAAGCTTTGCCACAGCTATGCCTTTGTCAAACAGATTCATGACATCCCAGCTCTAAGTCCATGAGCCAGTTCAAGTAAGAAGTCACAGAGAGGATGAGCTGAAGGACAGGACGAGGGACAAGGCAGGAGACGGGAGGGGAGGTCGGTGAATCAGAGACAGGCATCGGCAGAGAATGACCCCAAAGGAGTGCTCTGCACTGACATCCTGTGTGAGTCGGAGCCCTCGGGGGAGGGCGCCCGTGGGCTGGAAGGTCCTTATTTGTGAAGTGACCCTGGGCCATGGTATGCCTGGGCACTGTTTAGCAAAGCCAGGAAGAAAAGCTGCAGAGTTGCCTGACTCCTGAAATCATCTGCTGGTTCATTGAAGGAACAGTTAGTTCCAGGGTTGCTTCTGGTCATCACTGGCATGGTCTCTGGCCTCTTTTTTCTTGAGATTGCACAGTATTGGAAGGGACTCGGGAGGGCTGAGTTCATAGTCAGAAGAAGGATGGACTTGTTGACTCCTTGTTTTCTGGACCTGCCAGTGAATCAAATCAGACACCTGCCTCTCTGATGTGAATGAAAAATTACTACCCTCAGCCCTATGGAGAAGAGGGAAGGGGACTTCATGGGATCCCCAAACCGCAGCCCTTCCTCTGACTACCACCCCTCAGCTCTGCCCCTGAAGCTCAGGTCTTCATTATTCTGCCTGAACTTCTCTCCTGGACTCTGTAACAGCTGCCACACCGCTGTCCTGCCTGAACTCTGTCTCCTCCATTCCACCCCACCCCTGCCCCACACATGGCTACCAGGGTCACCCTGTAGCACAGCTGCTGCAGTGCAGAGAATCGAGACTCAGAACCTGACTCCCCTGTCTGGAGAATGAAGGTGTGGGGATCTCAAGTTCAAAACTTCTGTAATTCTGTGATCTCACTCCCCTCTTCCATAAGCCTATCATCTCTACTGCCTATAATACTGAGCACAAATACTTCATTCTCATGTCAGAGATTTCATAGAATGTCATTCCTTTCCTCTTCTCCCTATTCCCAGACAACTGTCCAGAGAACCTGGACTTCATCTTGTGCCCGAGACATGTCCCCTGCTTCTTTTGGTTCTATGCTTCTGCTTATGATCGCCCTCCACCAAAGATGGAGCTTGCCCCAAAGAGGGCAAGCTCCCGCATGGACAGTGAGTGTCCCGTCCACCTGGGCTAAAGGCTGGTGAACTCTTTGTTAAGATAATTGGGTACTGGAAGCATTTGGAACATTGAAAGTCAAGACAGGTGAAAGATCTGGAGGCTCAGTGCTCCGGGTAAGATGGCACAGTTCTGAGGAGCCTGGCTTTCACGCGGCTTGTTTCTGTGCTTCCTGGTCCATTCATGCAAAAGCAGGAAAGGTGCTGTTTTTTAAATTATATATAGAATGTTACATAGAAGGCTACATAGAATGCCCACACATAGAATGGACAGACACCAGACAGCATACTGCTATACAAACTTACTTTGTTTCAGTGAGTGTGTTAGTGCCAGGTTAGCGATAGACTTTTTCATGGAAACTCGTGCCAGGGTGGGGAAGGAGCTTCGTTTCCCAGAAACTGCGTTTAAGGAAGGCTTGAGTGCATGGCCCGCCGGTCTGCAATCTGGCGACAGGTGTCAGGAGGGGCCTGTGTCCTTGCCTCGTCTTCCCAGGTTGGCAATGATGGGTGTAAGAACGACGGATCCCCGGTAGGCACGTGTCGTGTCTCGTCCTGTTTTTGTCTCGTGCTCGGCCGAGTGGTGTACATATGCGTGTATTTGAAGAATGTGCCTAATAATGACATTGTTAAAAGGTAAAGTCGAAGAGGGTCAGAGATGGGGAAAGGTAAGAGATGATCTAAACTGATTGTTTAGAGAGCTTTGGCGGAAGTTATGCGGCGAGCTTGGTAGGAGGGCGGAGACAAGAACGCATTCTTTGTGTGACTGGACACAAACAGAAGATGTGTGACTGGAAACAGAAAATGCTGCTCCCTGCTTTCCAGCTCCCACTGAAGCTCGAGGATCACAGTTGCTCTTCAGAAGCTTCGGGTAAATGAGCTAAATGCTGAAGAATTGGCATTGGCTTTTATGTTGAGAAATTGCCTGAAAAATAGGGCAGATGTCGTAACATTTCAATTTGGCCATCGTAACTGAAATCTTGGAAACTTCTGTAATGTCTTGTGTATTTAGGAGAAAGAGAGTGTACCCAAAATCCCAACCACGTGAGTGAGTGCCCAGAAGAAAGTGAAAACTCAGTGGCTGTGGCCCCTTCGTAATTTTGCAGGGTCGTTCTGGGCAAGTCACGTGTCCCTGAGTCTCAGCTTCTTTCTCCGTAAAATGAGATTACTAGCTAAGGTTATTGTTACATTCCCTATACCACTAACAGTCTCTGATTTTTTTTTTTAATTCTGAGACTTTGCAGACTGGTCTAGCGGTAGTTGTGATCAGGAACACATGGGTGTCACCATACTTATCTGGTATTTTCAGGCACTTGTCCACGCATGGCAGGTGGTTACCTATGATTATCAATCCAGAGAGCTGACCACCCAGTGTGAGAGCTGTAGTGACCATCCCAGAGCGGCACTGTGGCACTGTCAGCCGGGGGACCTCATTCAGGGTCAGGGTGCATGGCCAGAGACCCCCGCCCAGGAAGCTAAGTAGCTGAAACACCGGAAGGACCTC